TGGTTATCCTAAACTGATTTGCTTTTATTATTTACAGCTTTTTACAATATATATGTGGACTGAAGATTGTCCACAATCCATTCTTAAAAATGGCAGTTACTCACTATCACAGAAATACCATGAGAAAAAGCTGCAGAACAGAATTAGAATTTTTGGAGAATTGAAGTTATATTATGCAGCTAGTTCTTCATTTTCAAATAAAATGTATTTTAGAGAAAAACCTTTTTTCCTCACACCACATACCAATAGGCAGCCCTGTAACTACACTGTAATAGGACAGAAACAGAGCTCTTTAACTATTATTTTCTTCCACATTTTGCATCTGAGAGAAACAACTTACCTGAAATGTCTTGATCAGTAATTTGCAGCATTTTCAAGAAGTACACCCTAATAGTGCTCTAGAAATGTAGGGACGATGAGAGAGCTCTGGGCTCACTTCAGTGCCTGCTCTCTATACCTTTGAGACACGTTATCCATAAGACAGGGACTAAACAGACAGGCCAAAATTTGCAGACTTCAAATTCTGTTTCTACTGGTCCATGTGTTTTCTTTTTTTTTTTGTTTGCTTTGTTTTTACATTGCCAATATATTAGTAGTGCCCAGTAATTGGCAAAGCTCACTGTGGTCAGAGCTGAACTTGCACCAGAAGTGTGCGGCCAGGTTTCCTGAATGACCCTTCTATGTTGTACTAGCACAGCTGCTAGTCAACTCTCTTCACTTGATATGAGAAAAAAGAAGTTACTGCCGCCAGAGAGTTTTTCATATGGCCCATCAACTCCATGAATCCACCTGGATCCGAACACTGAATACACCGTAGATGAAAAAAAAGATCATTTCCTGCTGCCCCACAGACACAGGACAATAAATCAGAACAAACGAGATTCATATGGGTGGCCAGCACTGTATTCCAGATTAGGGTAATTATAGCTTATTTTGTTTTACATATTGGAAGAGGTACCCACAGCCTAGCCAAGGAGCTGCTCTAAAGAGGTGTCTTGACCTCAGCCAAGAAACTCCCTTTTTTTTTTTTTTTTTTTAATTATAAGCAACACAAATACAAAGCATAGTCTGGCCAATAAAATACAAGATAATGAAATAATATTAACTTGTTCATGGGAAATTAGCACCTAGATTGACAACTGAATGTTTAGAAACCAGTTGTAAGGCCAAAATATTCTACATATTATTTTGCAGTTTTTAAGATGAGTATGTTTTTGAGATATAATGGGCACAGGACATTGAAAAATTGTAATATACCAGGAGATTGAGATGTCATTTTGCCCAAAGGGCAGAAAACTGCTGAGCACTTTTAAATAAAAACCAAATTTAAGACTAAAACCCTAATCCCCTACAAATGCACAAATAGTTATGCATCATTGCATACTTCAGTGAGGTAGACCAAAAGTCTATTCAAATTACCTTTGGAAGAACAGAGCCTGCAATACGACAACTAGGACCGTGCCTGTTTCTATTTCATGAGGATAATTGTCCTTATCTTAAAAGTTCCCTCCTTAAATAACTCTGCTAAGATCAAGCCATATATTTATAAGATGACACTCCATGTATTCTAAGATTTGCTAACTGGCATCCTTTTTGGTAATCTCACATAAATTCCAGTTAGCATAAGAAAATCATGCACAGGAAATAACTTTTTTCGACTACTGTTGGTTTTGATGAATTAAAGCAGACAGTATTTTGAGAAGGTAGGAGAATGGGACCAAAAAAAACAGTGCCAAGACTATCCAAAGTAGCTGATTAGGCTCACACTCTTATCAGGCATATAAAATACCGTTTTCTTCAATATGACTGTGGGCCTGCCAGTTACTTTAATGGAATATTCAGTGTAAGTTTCCCAGTAAGAAGCTTACTTCTACATAATAGCCTTTTAAAAATGTTGATCAATGTTGATTAGAAGCAAACAAGCCTCTCATCCCTTTAAAGTGGCTTGAACTGATACCATCTAATCTGTCCTATTGCACAGAAAGCTGAATAGTCCTTACTTATATAGTTTGCAAAACTTTCACCCATTCATCCTTTCCATGAAGGAAAGGAAATTCCAACCACTACATTTGGGAATTTAAGCTTTCCCACATTACTAGAGCAATGACAGTGACAATTTTTTTCACATGAACCTGCAAGCAAAACATGCATAAAAGTCCTGTATTTTGGGAAGCAATGAGAGACAGCACAAAGTTTGTACGCCAATGCTGCATGTGACTATGCAACTCATAAAAAAAAGAATTAAGGTGGACATGTGTATTCAGGAACTCAGTGTAGTATGAAACAACGTGCAGTACACTTGGAAGTACATTCATTGGTTTTCAATAAGGCACTCTCACATGTGTTTTTTGTCCAACTCCATTATATTTAATAGTGGTTGGCATCTAGCTTCTGGAAAAAACATAACAGAGTTATGGCTGAAAATGTCAAAAAAACAAAACAAAATAAAAAAAAAGCTAATCTCCTTTCATTGAAATCATTGGTTGAAATATCTTTTAGATGCAAAGAAATAAAAAGAGTATTTGAGCTCCTTTTCAGAAAATGTTATTAACATTCATGACAACACTTGGCAAAAGTTTTTCTTTCAGCATACCAATTATTTAAGTTGTGGTTTTCTCATGTTCATGGAAAATGTGTAATAAAATAATCGAAAGCTTATTCCATAATCTCCAGTGTTAGAGTCTGAAGTCTACAGATTCCAAACTCTACTTCCCCATGCCAGCCAAATGTCTTGGTTCAGAATGAAAATTCACATTAAGGAAATCATGAGGATTTAGTATAAACAACATTCATCAGTTATCTGGGCTGTACTGGGTAAAACAGCAGCACTAGGCCAACAAGTCCATCTCCTGTGGATTTTGCTGTCTGTTTGCTCTTTTTTTGCCCTACCAAGATTAGGACTTGGCAAATTTTCTAGTGAGCTGGAAGTCTTAAATAGCAGTCTAGATGGATAAATACTGTCTTGAAGAAAACATGGAGTTGAGTCGCAAACATAAAAGCACAGCTCAATTACAGATACACCTGATATGCAAAAGAGAAAACAGTCTAGAACTTGTCTATATGCAAGCGCTATGTCTAACCTCAGAAATTCAGATTAGAATCTGAGTGGTGATGGAGTTATGCTGATTTTTGTGATCTTGAATTACACAAACACTTTTAACACTACCATGCATATTGTTCACCTGCAAATACACAAGAAATATATTTTTTGACCTACACAGTGTTCAAATTCAGTGGAATTCTAAAACATCACCAAAGAAATATCTTTGACACCTATGCTTCATTAGGGTGTTACCCCACTTACTAGTGAAATAATAAATCACTATCACCTGAATGGGGGGTCATAAAGTATGTAAAAAAACAACTACCCTAGGAGAAAAAAAGAAACAAGTTACTACTGCATCCATGAAGCATATGGAATAAGTTATGAGGGAAAGCTACTGAAACAATGAACATAAATTAATTCAAGAGACACTTAGATTGTTTCTGATGGAAGAGACAGAGAGAAGTTGTTAAAAAAAAATTAGGAAAGTGGGATAAAGATAAGATCAGTCAAAAGATGGCAGATGGTCTTATCCTGCTGCTAGAATACCTTATTTTGCTTAAATTAAAAAATGAAGTAAAAATTTAACACTTTTGCCCAGCAGCTTAAATTAGAAATCGAGTCTCAGCGCCACCCCATCCTGAGATTCATCATTGACTTATCAAATTTGTCTTTGCAATATTGCGTGTGGTTTCAGACTCCCAGTGTGAGCGACATGCTGACCCTTCAAGGATTGTGTTTACTGGCAAATTTCCAACTGCTAACTCCAAGCTCCTTAGTGAAGTGTAGGCTCCTTATCCAATGAATGAAAAAAGATTAGCATTTCCCTAAGTTCCGCTCAAAATTAGACAGGCCTCAGAGGATGCTAGTCACTGTTTGTAACAAGTCATGTAAGAGACAGAATGAATTCCAGAATAAGTGGAGTTCAAGGACATGGCACATCGGATACTCCCCAAAATATATGGGCAGAGGTAAGAGAAAATGGTTGGAAGAACTCCTGTTGCTTAAAGTCTGGAAGACACTGTGCCTCCAAGCACAAATGGGTACTATAATTCTCTCAGAGAGCTATGAAAGAAAAAAAAAATCTTCCTTTTCTTTTTTTCCTGTATTCTCATCTGCCACACATGGTAAGTTTCCCAAGAAGTGGATAATTTAGAGGCACTAGTCCTCATTTTAGGCAACTTTATGTCTTAGTAAGTTTACATGAAGCAGTAATAAGCATGACCAATTTTTTAAATAATGTTCTTTAAAGGGTATTAAAGGACAATAAATCACCTGTCTCTAATATGGAAGAGACTACTTTGAATTGGTTAGAGCTAAACAATTTCCTGTATTTAGTACTCTGATTTATTTTAGCTAAAGGCAAGTACAGAGTGTTTTCCCTTTCTTCTGTTGGTTTTCCATCCTGTCTTAAGGCAATAGGTGATATCAAGAACATCTTAAAATTTTAGGGACTGATTACAGGCCTCCTGTACTACTTAAGGATGACTGCTTTTCAGTCCAAGCTGTACAGTTGCTATATACACTAGAAGAGTTCACTTAAGACTCCTTAATACATCCCATGAATGTAAGGCCATGTATGCCACACACAAATCTGAAAAATGTGCTCTTCTCCACGTACAGAAGAAAGAAAGGAGAATTCTCACATGTATCACTGTATAAGTAGAGATAAGCAGAAACCAGCTACCAAAGTCTCTTAATTATGTTTTCAGACTAAACCTTAAGTGTTAGTTTCTGTTGGGAAACTTTGGGAGCTCCCACCTATATAAGAACAAAGAATAATATTTTAGAAAGATATTGCAGAAAAGGAGCTATCCCAAAACAAGATAGTTTCCTGGCTGTTTGCTTGCTTGCATATTTAGCGACTGCATTTTTGGTGGAGTTTCACTCATTTCTGTGGGAATTTGAGAAACCACCACAAAAATAAATGAGTGATTTCATTTTAAAGGCATCTTACCAGCGGGCTACCATCAGTCCAGCGGAAATCACGCTCAAACATCTTGTCATTGAGGCCAATCCACTGGTAGTCATGCCCAATACCTAAAGCAAAAAGAACCAGAAGGATATTTTTATTAACTTTCCCATAAATGGGAGAGTTTTCATCATTATCTTAATAAAGGAACTTGCATGGAATGAATTGGACATCCTGTTCTTAAGATTCTCTTACTCACTGTGCAAACAATTATTTAAAAAAAAAAAAAATGTTGTATACTCTTCAATGCCAAAAAGTAGTTTTATTACACTTCCAGGAAAGATATTTTCTACATAAGAAATAACTGTGATAAGGAACTAAACAGCAAAAGTAAACATCAAGCACACAATATGCGCTCTGAAAGGTTTTCTACGCGTATTCTAAAAAGAAAATATAAAGCTGAGTGATCAGAAGGATATTTCTCTAGTTCTGAATCCTCAGTGTCCTTTCTTGTTGAGCAGAGTTTTACTAATACATACGGTTCACAAAGATCTGCTCTTCGTGGGACAAGATGCTTGTCAGGTGCGCTCCCTGAAGACGGCATTCTCGTTCAGCTGTATCCCATGTACGACGATGGGCAAAGTATTTGTAGCACTGTCCCTGGAACTTGTGCCAGCCATAATCACATGTCTCTGTGTCTGTGACAAACAAAAAAATCATATTTCTGACAACAAGCATGAAATACAGGCACATGTGAATGTGTGTCACAGAAATGTGCCTGTATTTCACAGATTTTCTGCAGTGCAGAGGCTCAAACAGGTATCCCCTCCCTTAAGCAATGCAAAGGCAAAAATAATCATTCACTCTTGAAGTCTTAATATTTCAGGTACTCCTATTTACCAGGTTTCAGTATAAGTTGTATGAATACTATTCACATAAGGAATGTAAATTTCATTAGCCACTTTGTGAGATTCTATTGATCCTATTGTGCTGTATTTGGGAAATCCCAAGAGGACATCTTTAGTCCATAATTCTGGATGAATGAAAAGCCTGGATGATAGATTGCATTTCGTCAGAGTTTTATGCATTTATTTATTTATTTCAGAGTTTGTACATGGGGATAAGAGTTATTATTTGTACAACAAAGAGTTCTTTGAGTAGTGACTGAATTACTTGGGTTTGAAAACAACCAATAATTAAAAGTAACCATAAAGGAAAACATGTGTTACTATTCAATCCACTGGTGTATTATCTTCCTGAAGACTAAATTTACCTCTCCAAGTCTTTCTCCAAAACCCTCCTTCCATTGCAAAGTATAAAATTTTAGGTATCAGTTTTCTAAAGACAACTGTAATATACAAAGAAATGAAATGGGTATTGTCTGTACTCCTGAGAGATGGGACTGATAAGGACATGTGACAGGTAGGAATTCACATCAGTCAGTATTCCCTTTATCTGAAGGGAAATAAACATGGAATTTGGAGCTGTAGCAATCTGTGGATGGGACATTAATGATTTTATCAACATTAGGTAGCTGCAAACAGAATAGAAGGCAAGAAATAATACAGTTCTCACCCCCAGTCTGATTCTGCATCAATACTGCAGAAATAAATCACAGTCAATATCAGCCCTGCAATAAAATGGGCATAATAAACATGACTGTGTCTGAGCAGCACCTGATGATGAGAGGAGCTTGCCACCAAAAAGAGACATTCTTAGGGAGGAATAGGAGAAACTATATAGAAAACTCAAACTGGAGCTATGACAGTTGAAATGACATCATAAGGACACTTTAGCTCAAAATTACAGCATATCCTGACTACATCCTGTTCCAGTTATCTGAACACACTGCGTGCAGAAGGGCCTCTGTTGTGGGGTGCTCAAACACAGAAACACAAAGCAGAGTTTTTATTTTCATCATGCAACAGTCTTTCAAACTTCCACCACGTCTGAAAGCAACTATCTTGCCTTTCAGGATGTATTTATATATTCTGGATATGAAATGGGATTTCCTAAAGCCAGTAACATGGTATGGCCAGAGAGGTTCTTTTTGACACTGTACGGAAAAAGCTAAGTCTATAAAACGTCCCCAACCATTCTTTGATTATGATATTTTTCAAGCTTTAGCTAGAGGTCACGTCATATAAAGTACCAAAATGGATCAGACCCTTCAGACACTTCGGCTGCTAATATATACTCAGTGGTGAGCAGTTACGACTCCATCACAGGGAGACAATTAGCGAATAATTTGCCAATAAGGCCAGACTGATTGTTAATCAAAGCAGGAAGAGATCATTCACACACTGAAGCATGAAAGCTTCTATTCTATAGAAATTTTGTTTGCCTATTTCAAAAATCTCCTGACATAAAAACCAAGCTTCAGCTACATTTACGCTTTTAAACCTATATAGGTACATTTTTACCAGTTCAGTGGCATTTCTTTGATAATTTCTGGCAACACTGTTAACATAGTAGCTATTGTCCTAAGAGTCTGGTATCAAAATATTTACAAACATATATATACACATATATTGGCGTAGACATAAATGTCAAAAGCAAATAAAGAGGCAAAATAGAACTTAAACTGATTTCTCATGCATTTAGTTTCCACAAGTTAAACTGTAGAAAACTGCTTGTGCTTTGAGCAACCTCAAGGATGAAAAAGGAATGTCATCTTTGTTATCAAGTTGTTAGTTGTTGATGTTTTTCCTTGCTGTATGCTGTATTAGGTGCATGCTGCAAATACAGATTTAATCTCTGGGATCTAGGCCATTTTAAAGTTTAGTCTGCCTTCAGTTTTCAAGAACATTTATTTAACCACACAATGCTGACTAATAGTCAGCAAAATGTCCTTTGTGAAGGCACACAAGATTTTATTTTTCATTGTTTGGGGACCACTTCATCCCACAGGAAACAAGTCAGATTACAAGCAGCTTTGCAAGCTCAGAAAACTCATGCTCAGAAAGTAGCTTCAAGGTTCCTCTGATTAAGCCTCTACTGCTAGGGAAGAAGTACAAGATTTGATGAAAAATCTGCTGAGTGGTAGTATGAGGGAGGCAGAGTGTGTGAAAGCGCAAGAGCTAAAAGGCTGAGTTCAAAGAACAAGATTCAATGGCCTAACCTTGAAATATGAATATCAACATTTCTATTCTAACTTTAAGATGGAGGATACTAAACTGCCATATGTACTTAGAGCCAATACAGTGCATCCATGGTGTATGCACAACCCCTCCCAACCCAAAATGTCATGTTCTTATGTTCTTTTTTAGTAGAAAAAAAGGGGATTGTTGAATACCTTCTGCACCTGTTTAAAACTACAGAGGAGGAAAAGGGCAAAAGGTCATAGAAGACACAGGATTTTTTTTCCAGGAGTGGGGGGTGGGAAAGGGTTGAAAAAAAAAAAAAAAAAGGTATGGTGAAAGGCTCACTGTCAGGGTAAGTCAGGAGGCCAGGGGATGAAAAATGCATTTTATTTAAAAACAGCTTTCATCTCTGTGCTATGTGAATGAGAACAAGTCTTGATTTGTCCTGAGGATTTTTTTGTTCTACTACATTAACGAAGTTACACAAAGGTAAGGGCTCCCAAAGAGTCTAAGTTTTTAAAAGTCTTTGTCAAAGAAGTAAAGTCTATTTGCAGGTGTGTGTAAATTTTCTATGAGCAGATTAGGTGTAAGGACTTATTGAATACAATATTTCATATTCATTGTATACTTACCCTGTGAGGTAATCAGAAGTTTATGCAAACTTACACCAGAGCATGATGGAAAGACTAAAACAGTTCTTGACTGCTTGTCATGTTTATGGCATTTTGTAAATTGTCTCACTAGTCTTAAGTTTTATTATAATTTACAGGTTAATTTTCAGTAATGTGTGCAAAGAATTACCCACACAACTTCTCTTCTCTATAACTGTAAATACATAACATCTCTAAATACTACATTAAATATATTCATCCCTGCAGGTGTAATGCTTTTTCAATGCTTTTTTGCAGGTTCTGCTTTTTCAATAATTGCAGTAAGCTGCTGACAATAGGTTACTTATCTTTAAACAGATCCTGTAAGATTCTGAACAGAAAACAGTGAAACACAGATATTAGAACATAATAAGACTCTTACTCAGCTGTGAATTCTATCTGCAACTGTCTGGCTTCAGGTAGTGAACAAATTCAGAGAAACATTAGGCCACACATCTTGAGGAAAAAACATTTCTCTGGTAAATATTTAAAATATTCATTCTCAGCTGAAAGGCAGCATTTAGAGACCATCTGTTTTGAGAAGGCATCTTTGCACTGAGCCCTTCTGAAATGCTTCCATCCCAAGCTACCAAGCTCAGGGAACAAAGTGAATCAGATGAGACAGAAGTAATCATAAACATTTGAACAAAGAAAGCGGGTTATGAAAAACAATGTTCCTGATGATAATTGAAAAGAAATGTTTTGCTTTGGGAACCTGAAAAACAAGACAGCTAGCTGTATTATCCCAAGGAGGCATGTCCACTAGCAAACACATATGCACCATTTTGGCACGAGGCTCCACTCATGCAGCTGCGTTTGGCAAACAGGCTAGGCAAGGAGTGTCTGCAGAAATCCTGCAGTGCAGAAAGCCAAAGCTTAAGTTCAAAACACAAATATCATTCCTTGAAAGCAGGTAGGCACCATCTAGAATAGCACGGAAAATGATAGGAAAAAAAAAAAAGAAACCCTAGCCAACCAAGGGAGGAAAAGGAATATATCAAATGGTGTTTATCCACCCAGTTTTCATAACTAACACTTCAGTAGTTTATTGGGACTAAAGTCCAACTTGCAGTTCTCTATTGTTTTGTGTTATCCCCGTAATTGTATTATCCCTGTATTCACGAAATAAGGTACTCCTCATTACAAATACAGACAACCAAATACTGAAACAATAGTCACCAGCTCTCATATAGTCCTTAGGGATGAGTTTCTATGACTAGTCCCACTGAATTGCAGAGAAGCTGTTGTTCCTCAGTGTGAGACAAGATACCAAGCTTTCTTTCCCCTTTCCTCAAACTTAGAGACAAACACTTTGAAAAGTGTTTGTGAAAGTCTTTTCTGGATATTTCTGCCTTTAAAAAGTGTACTGCATGGTATGTAGAATATGGAGCTGTATTTTCAAAAGACACATACAACCCTTTGGTTGCTCTATTCTTATTATCAGACAACTTTGGCTCTCTTCAGGAACGGGTTCCT